ACAGTAATAACCCGTGAAAGTGAACATTAATGTAACACACAACACACAAATCATTTATGGGGTGTGTGTCGAACGTCACATGACCAAACACGGAAAACAGGTCTCATCTGCTTGTCGGAGAACGTGTTAAAAGCCGTATTAACTAATGGTTATGCCTATGGATTTTTAAGGTAATCAGTTAAACTAGCTGGTTGTTTTTATTGTTGCTGTTATATTCAGTTTTAATATCTAAATATGAGTGAAAAGAATAAGAATAAAAATAAAAAACTTTTAGATATCAATCCTCATATGTGATGGACATTGGTTATGATCTACTTTGAAGGCATCTTGAGTAAAACAGCTCCATATTTAACGAAGCGTATACAAAACACTTGAACCGGAAGCGACGAGACCTGTTTTACAGAATATGGAAGTCTGTTGCGCATAACCCCCATTTATTGATCATTATCACTGTCGCCGGCCTCTGAGCCTTTTTATAATATTCTGGAAGAGTTTCTCTTGTCTCCACTGAAATTTGCTCTTTTTCCATCCCTCAGGCTCCGTCTGGCTCCATCTTTGTCCTCAGTCACTCCGGCTCTGCCATGGTCTTCCGGGTCTCTGCCTCCACGTCAGTCGCTTGAGCCGTCAGCTCTGCCTTTATAGTTATTAGTCATTTATGAACACCTTTATAATAAAGCCTTTACAAAGGGAACCTCAATGTAACGTGTTATCGACATCAGTAACATGAGGGTGAGTAAATGATGGCAGAATGTCAATATTTGCTCAAACGATCAATTTAATTTGTCAGATATAGTGCATCAAAGGAATAGAGGTCACTTTTGGTCTTTCGCAGCATCTTTGTCTCTGTTCCTTTTGCTGCGGACAAATTATGATCCACATACAAAACATGAAATAAGGTTATGGTTGCCTACACAGCAGTAAGTAATTGAAAGTCTTGACACTGGAAAACAAAAGCTCCATTGAAGACGGCAAATTGAATTTGGTAGTATCCATTAATGTCACTACAGCAAGAGGGAGAGAGAGAGAGAATGCTCTTCAAGGTAATTACCTTCAATTTTCTGCTATTAAACTCCATCAGAATGGACAGAGCGCTTATCAGAGATGAATCTACACACATACAGAGAGCGCTGGCCTCCACTGTGTCCACATCTGCACAGGAACAACCTTTATTTGCACACAGACTTCTACGAGCTAATGAACTAGCCAATAACTTGAAACGGAGGTCAACATTTAGACAAATAAGGATGAAATTGTTTGGTATGTGTCTTAGAGTTTTGTGTGAAATATTCTGAAGCAGTAGGTTCAGTTTATAAAATGTGTCACATGAGTCTGAACAATTCTGAAGCTCTGTGAACTTTGCATAAGTGGCCTGCTAAAGAAGTCAGATCTACTCGAGAGCTTTCATGCATCCTGCTTACTGTGGCAAGAGGTTGTATATAGCCAAAAGATACACCAAAATATACAAGTATTGAAATACTTTCCTGTACTTTTCTATTCCAGGCAATGTCATTTAATCACATAATTCGTTTAAAATTTGCTCCAAATAATAAAATATTTTATGATTATTCAAAAACTGGTATAACTCATTCAGTTCATCCTCAATAGCAAATGGAAAGGTTCAGAAAGCCATAGAGCTAGTTTCAGATGCAAAGTAAAATATTTTATTGAAATGCATAAAAAAAAACTTGAATACATAACGCACACAAGAGGGCTTCAGCAAACCTCCAAATGGGCCTCAAGATGGCTTAAAGTGATTTGAAATAAGACAAAAAGGCATGAAAATAAGCTAAAACAACTCTAATTAAAATGTTAATTGTCCCACTCAACTTTTTTTTTCCGTTTGAGAAATGTCTTGGAAAACCTTGATATATGAGGTAGACTAAATACAAAAGTTTTGGGCACTTTTATAAAGAACATACAATTAGAGCCAAGCTCTAAAGAACTTTCTCATGTAGAAACTGTGAGAAACGATGAATTTCAAATCTCTATCCTTAATTCTTATTATAAACGACTGGAAAAGTTGTGTAAAATAACTGGTTAAAAGAGTGCGATCCCTGAAGAACATTAAGCTCTTATTTGCATTATTATTATTTTAGTGACTTATTTTACTTTACGGAAACTAGGAAGTAGGTTCAAATACGTTTTGAAGACAAAACTAGGCCTATAGGGGGCCTTTGAATACCGTTGTGAACTATGGGCAATGGCCTTAGAGTCGAAACGGTTGAGAACTGCTAAAGTTGCAGTCTTTAAGCACAGAAGAAGTCCATGTCCTACAGAGAGAAAGAAAACCAAATGTATAATGCATTATCAGGATAAAAAGTATAATGTGATCAGCAGTAGATTAAATACTCACAGTGGTTGGGATCTCAACCGTTTTCTCCTGAAAAACATGTGTCTCATTGACATAGTTACTGGGGAAATATCCGATCACACCCATCTGGTCTACATAGCGCTCACTGTAGACCTGCAAAAGCAAAGCTGCTGCTGTGATTTCTGGGTTTGCAGTCAGATCAGCTGAGGGAAAATGTCAAATGTAAAGACACACACACTTCCAGACCAGAAGACTCCGGCTCGCTCTACAGGCTTGAGTTTAGAAAACACATAGATACTCTGGCCACGTCTCAGGTTGATGTATCTGCAGTCTGGAGCGACGTAGTCTTCAAGACCTTTAGCCATTGAAACCACATCTGTGAGGCAGAAACCAGACTTCATAAGCAAAGAACATGAACAGCTACAAAAATAAAACAAGAACTGAATATTCCCACCACTATTGCCCAGGAAAGAAGATGCAGTTTGTTGAAAGCATGTTAACCAACATGTGGTGTACGCTGTCACTAAGAAACCTGCCTCTCGACAAAATCTAAGCTACAAGCATCTGTGACACAGAAATAGCTTTGGACAATAGTAATCATAATTAATAACTAGCTTGATATTGTTTCCAAGTCATTAAGCATAGCTTTGCCGTGTACTGTGATGAACAGTGTAACTCACATGAGCAGTCCTTGTCTGCACAGATCTTGAAGTTTGCCAGTTTCTCCATGAGAGCAGCGTGTGCCACGTGACCCACACAGATCCACAGGAAGATCAGGCCGAGTGATTTGTCCATCTTCAAAGAATGGTAAGGGAGGAATCACTTCTCACTGCATGCACGTTCCCCGCTGAGAGTCCAGCTGCACATTCCAGGCAGCTTCAGGGAAAGCCAGCCACTTCCGGACTCACACTCACTCTCCAGACAAACACTGACTCGCATGTCTGCTGCTTCATCAACTGCAGTCTAATAACATGGCACAGCACTTTTATTAACAAACATTGCATAATGCTTCATACAAAGCAATAACGAATAGCCTATGCAATACAGTTTATACCACTGTTTGTGTACATTCACAACACATTACACATTCCCATATCTGCAATTTGAGCACGGAAGAGATAGGAGCACGGAGACAAAGATGATTCGGTAAGCATTTAATAATAATCCAAGATGATGAAGATTCAATAGACACACAGGGAGACACAAGCAGCATACTCAACGACAATAGCTGACAATGAACTGGACTGAAAGGAGAACTAAAGTACTCAGACCATTGTAAAGCGTCCTTGAGCCCGAAGGCGCTATATAAATAAAACATCAGTATTATTACCAAATGAGGATAATTAACAAGGCACAGGTGAACTAACTAATGAAATCAAGGGGAGACAGAAAATAGGTCAATGGACAAAAGCAAGGCGGAAGAACAGGAAAACACAGAAAACAAGCTCCATACTGTGACAGCTTGACTACTGGATTACTCTGATTGTTTGTTTGTGTTAAGATAATTGATCAGGTCAGCACACTTGAATTACTTTTGTGATGCCACCCAAACAATTTTGAGGACTGATACTGTATAACTAACTCATCATCATCTTGTAGATATTTGGGAGGGGGGGGGATAAGTTATAATAATGCTTAATAAAAGTCAAACAACCAAAACTATTTTCAAAACAGTTGGTGTGGTCCAAATATGCAGCTTCTTGCTGGGGAAACATCCATATTTCCTACTTGGTCAATGTGAAATATTTCCTATTTCTCTTATTGCGCCGTTTGCTCACTTACTGTAACTCACTCTATAGGGGAAGAACCCATGAACAATCTCCATATGCATGTAGAGGATCGTTATGCATCACCCAACATACTATTATGGGAATCAAATGGAAACAATTAATCTAGTTGTAATGGCACAAAAAATTAAATTATGTAATGGGGCAATCTTGCCCCACCATTGGGGCAAAATGAGGCATCTGACCTTTACAGAACATTTTATCTAAAGGACAAATTAATCTTAATAATTTTATTTTTGCAAAATCTAACCAAATTGGTAACGTTATGCATTTGGTCCCCACAATGTAGAATAAACAAGTACTCACACACACACACACACACACACACAGGTTTGTTTTTGTGAAAAGTGGGGACTCTCCATAGGCGTAATGGTTTTTCTACTGTACAGACCGTATATTCTATTGCCCTACACCAACTCTACCCCTAAACCTACCCCTCACAGGAGACTTTCTGCTATTTCAGATTTTCAATACACTCCATTCTGTGTGATTTATAAGCGTTTTGAAAAGTGGGGACATGGGGTAATGTCCTGAAAAGTCACCTTCTCCTTGTAATACCTGTTATACCTTTGTCATTATACACATTTATGTCCTCATTTGTCGCAAAAACGCGCGCACACACACACACACACACACACACACACACACACACTCTCTCTCACACACACACACACACACACCGCACACAATACATTTCTCTCAGACTATTTCATCCTGACTTGGAGGTAAGCCAAAGCTAATGCCTCCAATTCACTCTCACATTCTATTCTATTTTATTTTATTCTAAATACTCTTATGATAATAATATAATATAATAATATTATTTTAATAATAAAATAATAAAATAATATATTTTAGTCCCTTTCGCCTGACGTAATGAACAGAAAGTTTGCATGACGCACTTCCGCAAACTTTAACCGGAAGTTGGTTTGTTGTTGTGTTGTGGGGGGTTGAGCCCCGGCGGCTCGAGCTTATTTAGGATGCTTCGCTGGCTTTCTGCGTGTTTATATCTCTCGGGAGCAGCGGGGGGAATGGCGTAGGACAGACAGGGTGGTTCTCTTCATTATTTCAGGGTTTGGGCAGGCATGGACCCGCGGGTGTCCGAGCTCTTCGGGGCCGCTGCTGCAGCACAAAAGTCCGGCGGCAGAAAAAACGCCAAAAATGGAAGCAACAAGTTCAAAAGCCGCTCAGCCCGATATCCAAAAGCCAGCAATAACCCGCCTTATCTACCTCCAGAGGTGAGTCTGCTCTGTTGAGCTGTTTTACACGCTCCTCCCGCTGTACTGCGTTTATGCTGTACTTCTGGTTCCGTCTAACGAGGTTATTATATGTTTTGTGTGTTTCGGGGTTTGTGATAATAGCACACTTAGATGAAGCTACTGTATAACGTGCTAATAATGAGACCGATGAAACATGATAACAGGAACTTATCAAATTAGGCTCTCTAGCGACTCAAAAATAGCTGAGCCCATTGCTACCCATCATAAACATCACAATAAACATGAAATGCAGCATAACACACTTTGATGGCATAAGAAGATGAAGAATGTAACGAAAGAAATGTAACACCTGGAAATGCACCTTTTCCTGAACATAGTCATATTATTTACTTATGCAATGTATTTTACAGTAGAACTAAATGTTTTTTTATATGTACTATAATTTAATCAATATAATAGTATTTTTACATTGTTGTGGCAAGTACATGTATTCCACATAACCTGTCCTTTAAAGGGGTCATATGATGCGATTT